CCTTTCCTTCCTTCATTTTGGGTGTCGGGTATTTGTCCCAGCAACGAGAGAAGAGTAACTAAGACAGTCGCCCAAGCTGACCTTGAACTCAGGCAATGCTCCTGCGGTAGCCACCCCAGTGTGGGATCACAAGTGTGTGCCACCACACTCAAGAGTTGTATTTATTTATTTATACTGAGGTGCTATGGATTGAACCCAGGGTCACGCATGCTGACAAGCACTCCACTTCTGAGCTATATCCCCAGCCCCGCCAAGACATTTCTACTACCTGTTGTTGAGCTTGTCAGGAAAAGCACAGTAAGTGGTGAGTAAGCAGAGCAGCAGTGATCTGTAAAACCATAATCTGTCTACTAAATTAATAATTAAAAGGCTATGGTTTTAAAATTTGAAAAAAATTCCTGTTATGTAAACAAGGCAATCAGAGCTTGGGAGATAGCTCAGTGGCATAAGCACATGCCTGGCAAGCTCAAGGACCTGAGTTTGATCCCCAGTACTGCCTGCACTGCCAGCCCCAGAACTCCAGGCGGGCCAAGTGGGCCACTGAAACTGGGTGTGGTAGCGCATGCCTATAATCCCAGCAGTAGGGAGATATAGCAAGACCCTGTATCCATAAATAAATAATATTACAAAAACCAACCAAACAAGCAAACAAAAAAGACAAGACTGCCTATCCTGTCACAATTTCTTTTTTCTTTCTTTGTATTTTAGGGAAGGGTCTACAGGGTGTTCAGGGTCTCACTACTAGATTGGACTCATAGTGATCCGCCTGGTTACAGCCTCCCAAAAGCTGGGATTACAGATGTGCGCCACCATGCTCAGTATCAATTGCCATGGGAGCTGGCCCTGGGGGTGGGGCCGGCACAGCAGTTCCGGGGATTGAACCTCCCGCCCTGTGCCTGCTTGCAGGTGCTTTAATCCACTGAGCTATTTGGCTATCTGTCCTGTCACAGTTTCTAAGATACTTTTATGATTTCTCTAGCTACAGAAAGAATTACTGATTAAAAAAAAAAAAAAAAGTCTTGAGTATTACTTTAAGATCTAAATATACTCCCTGAGAGTCTCTTATTTACTATAGTATTTTAGGAATAGGTCAAATAACTGCATCATATACTA